TCCTAAAGTTTCAGTTTGAGATGTGACACTTTTTTAAATTCTTTTTCTCTTTTTTTTGAGAGGTTTTTGCTATAGGGCACGTACGTTCGCCAGAAAGACAGAGAGAGACATAGAGACAGAAAGCGAGAGATCCCCCCCTCCAGGGGGGATAGCCATGCCACAATCCCTTCCCCTCCATTCTCCTCTCGGGATCTTGGGAACAGCAAGCACACGCGCCTGGCATGAGTTTAAGCCACCGGGTCCCGGACTCGAACCGCCGTCAACTCCTTGGGAGTCCAGCGACATAGCCATTACGTTAAGTGCTGGTCCCAAGATGTGACATTTTAATATGAGTGACTCCATGTTAGTCTGGCTATAAGGCCTTAAGCAGGAGGTCAATCCAAAACAATGACCTAAGATTTTAACACACGTCACCGCAGCTTCAGACAGAGCAACTCCAATAGGGCGAGAGAACTGGGGACGCAGGTGCCTCACGCAACTGGGCAGCCATACGGCTACTGCAGGTCTGGCGCTGAGGGCTCCCTGAGCCCGCGGGACTACAATTCCCAGGATGCCACGGGCCAGTCAGCATTGCGCCTGCGCAGAGGTGGTGTTGACGCCGCCTTTTACCAAATGAGGGCGCTGGGGAATCAATGCTGAGCTGGAAGAGGCAGTGAGCCCCGGGGTCTGGGCGGGGAAAGCGGGTCTGAGACCTGGATTCGGAACGGTTTAACCCTCGGTCTGATTCCAGGCTCGCGGGTTATTGGATCCCAGTCCTTGCCTCGCCCAGAGTAAAGCTCTCACGTCCTTCTGGCGCCGACACACTGAGTGAGCTTCTTGAGCCCCGCAGCCCTCGGAAACCCACGTCCGGTGGCGGGTGGTTCCCCGCATCCTGTATCAGCCCCCAAGGCCGCCCTCCCTCCTAGGCAGCCCAGCTGCCGGCTTAACTTGAGGAGGCCCAGGTTGGAGTCCTCAGAGGTCCTGGGGCCCCGGGCTTTTGGCCTTTTCTCGGGGTGGGGGGCGGTTTGTGGTTCCCCATCTCACTGGGACCTCCAGGCCAGGGTCAGGTACGTGGTTCCCTGATTTGTGGTTTTCTCTGGGACTTTTAAGTGGGAAGGAGAGAAGCTTAGAGTGAATGCCTCAGCTTCCCCCCTTTTTTTTTTGCCCCTCAAATTTCAGAATGGTCAGCCTAGCCAGACCCACCTCTACAGAAACCCTAGGGGAAGATGATGACATTTTTCATTTTCTATCCCCATGGAAAAACTGGGGCTTAGGGCTGGCTAGGTTGGAGGTTATTTTATTTTTTTTAAATAAATTTTGAAAATGTATTTTGCTCTAGAGCACGTGTGTGCTCATGAAAAAATGTATTTATTTTGCTCTAGAGCACGTGTGTGCTCATGACAAAAAGAAAGTAAGAAAATGCCAGCAAGTCTGGGACTCGAACTGTAATGTGCCATCTGGGAGTCTAGCACCCTAACCACAATTCCACCTGCTGACCCTTTTACCAGAGTGAGAGATGGATTATAGATGGCTACAGGAAAGAGGAGATGGAACTGTGTGCAAGGAGCAGCCAGTGAAAGGACTAAGGGGTGTGTGTGAGAGAACAGACTGGGTGACAGAGAGTGTGGGTACTGTTGCCAGGGTAATACAGGTGACAAGCTGAACCATTCTGGTGCTATACTGTGTCAAGGATCTTCAAAAAGTTCTTGGAAGTATGTATTATCAAAACTCTATGCGTGGATTTCAGGAGTTTTTGCACCAAAATAAACTCATACTTTAATTCCATTTTTCCATGAACGTTTTTGAAGTCCCTGTGATGGGGAATGGGAGTGGGGATATTTCTATCTCTAATCAGAAAGATAGGAGGGTGCGATAAGTGGGAGCCTTAAAAACAAAAACAAAAACTTCCTAGGCCAGCAGGTGGTTGCTGGGTGGTGGTTAAGGCCCTGGACTCCCCCATGGCCAACTGAAGTTTGAGTCCCAGACCTGGTGGCTTGAAAATCATGCCAGGCATGTGTGTATGCATGCCCAAAATCCCAGGAGGAGAATGGAGGAGAGAAGGATTATGGCATGGCCATTCCCCTGGGGGGTGATTTCGTACTTTCTCTCTCTCTCTCCAGCAAGTGCACATACCCAATGGCAAAATCCGGAAAAAAAAAAAAAAAAAAATTCCCACCAGGCGCATGTGCATACATGCCCAAAATCTCAAGAAGAGACTGGAAGAGAAGGGAATGTGATGTGGCTATCTCCCCTGGGGAGTGATTTCTTACTTTCCTTCTCTCTCTCTCTCTCTGGCGAGTGCATATGCCCCATAGCAAAACTGAAGGAAGAAAAAAGAGTTCCCCCTTCTCCACATCCTTACCAGCATTTGTTGTTTTCTGTCTTTTTAATAATAGCCATTTTTTTTTTAGAGGTTTTTGCCTTGGAATGTGTGTCCTCACCGGAGAAACAGAGACAGTGAGAGGGAAAGTGGGAAGACAGCTCCCAGGGAGGTTGGCCACTCCACCATCTCTTCTATTCTCCTTCTGGGATCTTGGGCATGCACCCACACGTGCCTGTCGTGAATTTCAAGCCACTGGGTCTGGTACTTGAACTGCAGTCAGCCATGTGGGAGTCCAGCAATGCAACCGCTAGGCCATCTTCTTGCCCCATAACAGTTTTCTAACTGGAGCAAGATGATATTTCATTGGTGCCAAAGATCTCTTTCTAATCCAGCTCCTCCTCTCCATCCCCATTGCCACTGCCACCATTTTCTCTCAATTGGGTTTTGCAGCATCTTCCTAACTGTGCTGCACTACTCCAGTCCTGTGGGCTTCCACATCAGCATAGCAGCCAGTACCTGACTGTGATCATTCCCTTGCTTAAAAACCGTCGGTGACTCCCGTTCACTTTGCTGACAGGATAAAATACGAACTCCTTGGCACGGCTTACAGGACCAGTGTGACCTTCTTTCTGTCCACCCCTCCAGGCTCGTCTGGACATTTCCCTATCTCACTATACCCTCCTGCCATGCTGAATGCACTTCTGTCAGCTCCTCCAAAGAAGCTTCTTGGTTTTGTGGTTCCCTCTTCCTGGAACATTTTCTGTCCAATTATCCTGGCAGACTCCTGTGATGTGTCATGTCCCAGCGTATATGTCGCTTTACCTGTGAGCTCCTATAGAGGATCCTGTATTTCTCCTGTTTTTTTAAGAGAGATTTTTGCTATAGAGCATGTGCACTGGCCAGAGAGATAGGGAGAGACAGACAGAAAGCGAGATTATCACCCCCCCTCCAGGAGGCATGGCCTCGCCACAATCCCTTCTCCTTTATTCTCTTCTTGGGATGTTGGGCACACACTCAAACGCACCCAGTGTGAGTTTCAAGCCACTGGGTCTGGGACTCGAACTGCGGTTGACTATGTGGGAGTCCAGTGACGTAACCATTATGCCATCTGCTGATCCCTATTTCTCCTATTTTGATAACAGCTAGCAGTAATGAGCATGGGTTGTCTTCTAAGTGCTTTACATATAGTAATTTATTTAAACCTCACAACAGCCTTCTTTGAAGTAGACACCATTAACATCTTCCCTGTCTTACAGATTCAGAAAACAAGGCCCAGTTTTTCAAGGGCACACTGCTGGCACTGTTCACAATAGCCAAGGTATAGAACCAGCAACCTAAATGTCTGTCAGCAGATGAATAGATGAAGAACATATGTTTTCTATTTATGATGGAAAATTAATCAGCCATAAAAAAGTGAAATCCTGTCATTTGAGGAAACATGGATGATCCTGAAGGAACCTATGCTAAGTGAAATAAGCCAGACATGGAATGATAAATATCAAATATTCTCATTCACTAGCAGAAGCTAAAAGATTTGATCTTCGGGGCTGGCAGGTGGCATGGTGGTTAAAGCAGCTGGATCCCACATGGCTGGCTGACCTAGTGGCTTAAAAAACATGCTGGGTGGGACCAGCAGATGGCATAATGGTTATGTCACAGGACTCCTACATAGTCGATCATGGTTTGAGTCCCAGACCCAGTGGCTTGAAACTCACGCCAGGCACATGTGCATGCATGCCCAAAATCCTGACAGGAGAACAGAGAAACCACTGAGGCATTGATTCCCAATTTCTGTCTCTCTGTCTCTCCTGCAAGCACACCCACCCTATAACAAAAATCTCTCGTTAAAAAACAAATAAAAAAGAAACCACGTTGGGCACATGTGGATGCATGCCCATAATCTCAAAAGGAGAATGGAGGAGAAGGAATTGCAGCTTGGCTATCCCCTGAAGATGCTTTCTCTCTCCTCTTTCAGGGAACCACATACTTCCTATAGTAACTTTTAGAAAAAAAAGGGAGGGGGTGGTACCAGCAGATGGCGTAACGGTTACATTGCTGGACTCTCACATAGTCTGCTGCGGTTTGAGTCCCAGACCTGGTGACTTAAAACACACTGGGTACATGTGTGTGCATGCCCAAAATCCCGAGAAGAGAATGGAGGGGAAGGGATTGCGGTATGGCCATCCCCCCCAGGGGGTGATTTCTCGCTTTCTGTCTCTGTCTCTCTGACAAGCATATGTGCCCTATAGCAAAAATCTCTCTAAAAAAAGAAGGAAAGGGGGGGGGTTAGAATGATGGACGCTCTTGGGTTGTCAGAAAAGTCATGATACATTTTTGTATAGGAAAATACTTTTCTAATGACTCGCTAAAAGCCAGGAAGGAGAGGAAGAACGGAAAGATAGGAAGAATTTGGCTAGTAGGTATGAAATTACAGTTAGGTAAGAGGAATGAGTTCTAGAGTGCTAACGTACAGTAGAATAACTATAGTTAATAACTAATGTATATTTCAATATAGCAAGAAGAAAGGAATTAAAATGTTCACAACACAAAGTGATGATACATGTTTTAAGATGCCAGATACGTTTATTGCCCTGATTTCATCATTACACATTGTATTCAGGTATCCCAAAGTCACACTGTACTCCATAAACATGCACATGCGTGCATGCCCAAAATCTCTAGAAGAGAATGGAGGAGGATTGCAGTGTGGCAGTCGCCCCTGAGGGGTGATTTCTCACTTTCCCTCTCTCTGTCTCTCCGGTGAGCACCCACACACTCTATGGCAAAAACCTACAAACAAGCAAACAAAAAAGCCAGTGATGGATGGACAGGCAAGGCAGATTGGATGGGTATTAAAATGAACGTGGTTGGCCTCACCGCGGTGGCCCAGGCCACAGGACACCGCTATACAATACTGGAGCCCCCTGGGAGACCCAGGTTCAGACCCTGTGACCTGAGCATGCTGGATGCGTGTGCATGTCTGTGATCCTGGCTGACTGGCAGGCTGAGGGGAGGACTGAGGCATGGCAAGACCCTGTCAAGAGTGCCCCTTTCTCAAAAAAAGTAATAAAATGGAAGTAGTGACCAGCAAAGCTATTGCCAGGACTCCAGGTGACAATTGAGAGAGGGAAGTAGAGATGGAGAGGATGTTGCCATAGTGATGCAGTGAGGAGAGGGCCAGTGGAGGTATACAGGTGACAGAGTAAAGGCAGTGCTGTTGGTGCCAAAACAGGGTATGGTGCAACTCCTGGGGGACGGAGAGGACTGATGGGGGAGATGATGGAGGGGCTAGGTCTGCAGGGGTGGGGGTGACAGCAGTTACAGAGGTCATAGTAGCCAGGGGCTGGTGAGCTTGCAGACCTCAGGGGAGATGCAGTGGCTCCGAGTGCAGATGCTGGGCAGGTTCTTGCTGCACCATGAGCACGGAGCGCAACCCCCACCCCCGCACCCTCTCTGTGGCATGGATGCAGCAGTCTCCCCTGGCCCCTCTTCCCTGTGTAGGCACCCCAACAAGTGCTCTGTGCAGACGCCAAAGTTCGCACCCCCTCCCTGGTGGTGGTGGTGGTGGGGTTGTTGCAGGTCTGCAGCCCTCTAGGTAAAATCTAAACATTTTTTGAGACGTCTTATTTGAAAACTTGGGTATGACAAGGATGCAGCCTGTATTCTCCTGCCACGGTTTTTAAGTCAGAAGCCAGGCTTGGGTTCCTCGGTTCCCTGGGCCCCAAGACCCATCCAGCCGGTGGGCTGCCGAGGAATATACCCACCCACATCCTCTCAGGCTCTTACCCTCCCCCACTGCCCACTTCCTGTGCCTGAGGAGACACTGAGGTGTCGGGGCAGACCGTGAGGTGGGGGGAGGATCTGGTTACGCTCCGGAAGGAGGAAGAAGCGAGGACCTTGGAGTCTGGGCCCAGAGGGGAACAGAGAAAAAGTGAGGAGGGGGCCACTACCTTTACTTCCCCATCTGCAAGAACCCAGCGGCTTCCATTCCTAAGGTGTCTCCCTGACAGCTCAGATTGGAAGTTCGGAGTGGATCGCACCCTGAGACCAGCAATGTCTCCCAGTCTTTCGGGTTGGTTGGGAAACAGTGCCGTGCTGGGTAGCAGAAGGCCCTACTCCAGGGGAACCAGGGGTGCGACACAGGCCCCGTGGTGCCAGGCCTCCCCCTCAGCTGGCTTCAGGTTGGCTGTTGGCATAGGCCTGGTTGGGAAAAGAAGCCCGGGCTCGGCGGGTCTGGGAACACACTGAGGCGTAGAGCTCTGGCTCCGGGCCCGAGGCCTGGGGCTTCGGTTCTGAGTCCAGCACCACCTCCGAGTACTTGATGGGGGTCCCAGGGCTAGGGATCCGGCCCTGAGGAGGTCGCAGCTGCAGGCTGGTGTAGCACATCACCTCCTCTGCAGCCTGGAGATGCAAGACTGTCAGACGTTCTCTGGCCCCTCAGAAAAGCCCCCCAATTCCCTCCCTCCACTCCTTCAGCCTCAGCTGACTCACCCTGGCAGGGCCTCCAGGGGCTGGCTCCTGCTGCTCTGGCCCTGGTTCTTGAGACAGCCGTCCTGGGCAGGGAACGGAACCCGGTCAGCTTCTTGGTCCTGCTCCCGCATGACCCGTCACCTCCCAGGGACTGGCCTCTGCACTCCTCCCCTCTGCCAGCTCCCTACCTGTCTGTAGATAATGTAGGTTCCCATACAGCGGAGCCTCCTCCACGGCCCCTCCAGAGCTGCAACACAGGGTTGGGGGCATGAGTGGGGACTTCTGGGTAAGAGGGAATTCTCCATCAGCCCACCACATTGTCCTGCACTCACCATCCCTGCCCCGAAGGGCTCCTCCTGCAGTTGCTGGGCCACCTGAACAAGTGTGCAGCCAGCGAAATGAGAAGCAGCAATGCCACAGCCCCCAGGAGGGCCCATAGTCCCCAGGCCTCGTGTATGGAGGGAATTCCTGTGGATGTGGGAGGGTGGGGAGACGGTTACTGCCCAGCCCAGTCCCTAAAACCCAGCAAGTGGCATGTGGGGCTGCATGACCCCTCCCCCAGGAGCCCCTGCCCCACTCAGCTCACCCTGCGCCAGCAGATCCGTGCAGTTGTCACCTTTGCTCATGACTGCTGATGTGAGAGTCGAGTCTGCTAGCACACTGACCTGAGCCGGCAGTCAGCCTGGCTCATGGCCCGAGAGCTGTCACAGCCTCCCTTACTCCCACTCTTCCTTGGGCCTGGCCCCCTCAGCTCAGCCCCAATACTAGTAGTGGCAAAGCTTCTGGTTTCCGGGGAGGAAAGGATGAGCAAAAGAACAAAGACCCCGCCCTATGCCTGCACCTGCACCCCTCCTGTGGCTCCCAAGATCCCCGCCCTGTGTCTCATTGCCCTGTGCCCTCTTCCACACAACAGAAGCAAGCCTGTCACAGGTGAGCCCATGAAGACTCTGAGGGGGGCAGAAGTGGCACAGAGCAAGCTCATCAAGGACAGGAAACCTCTCTGCCACAGGGCACCCACGTTTTCTCGCCAACCCTATGTCCTTTAAGGAGAAGGTATTCCTCAATGAGCTTGTTACAGAGTGGAATGGCATGGGCAGGCCTCAGGGCAGCTCCAGTCCCTCCACACCCTCAGGCTGACTCGAGAGCAAATGTGCTTAGATAATCCTTGTCTTTGTTACTCCTGGTATCATAGTTTGGGGCATAGAGGAAGCTAGGTTCCCACCCCATTTCTACCCATTGGTCCAAACTGTCCCTAAGAACTGTCACTGTCAATGGTTAATTGCGTTAAAGAAATCTCTGCCCAGGACCATCCTGAGAAACTGAGCCGCATCTTTGCATTTGTTCACTTCAGGAAGTTGAGCACCTGCCCCACGTAGAGACAGCCTGGAGACAGGGGAGGCTATTGATGGTGGAAGAAGGATTTTTAGCGCGAGATGTAAACTGTAGACTAGGAGTCAGAGATGTGTTTTATTCGACTCATAGAACCTCTTAAAGAAATTTAAATTTAGGCTTGTGGGGGCACAAGTGGTAGGACACTGCTACACATGCTGGAGTCATGGGAGGTGTGGGTTTGGGTCTCTGGTTGACCTGAACACATCAGGCACGTCAGGGTTGCCCATGGGCTGGTGATCCTGGCTGGCTGGAGGATGGTAGGACGATGGCTGTGTGGGAGATCCTATTGAAGGTGGCTATTTCTCTCTCTCAAGAAATGAATAAAATACATTTAAAAAAATTTAAATTCAGAATGGCTCCAGGGCCTGGGTGATTAAGGCACCCAGATCCCACATGGGCAACTGCATAGCAGTCATACCTGGCAGCTTGAGAAACGCCAGGCAGGCATGCATGCATGCCCAAATTCCCGAAAGGAGAGATGGAGGCAAAAGGTTAGTGGCATGACCATCCCCCATTGGGGCTGCTTTCTCCTCTCCCTCTCTCTTTCTCTCTAGTGATTTCATGCACCTTGTGGTTAAAAATAATAATAATAATTAAAATTCATTGCAGTGACATGGTAAGGACAGAAGAAGTCCTACCCCTTTGGTGCAGGCAATAAAGGGTGCATTGTCTGTAGAGAATTTTAAAATAAAATAAAAATCAAACTCCTTTTTAAAATTTATTTTTATTTATTTATTTTTGGAGAGGTTTTTGCTATAGGGCGCGTGTGCTTGCCAGACAGACAGAGAGAGACAGAAAGAAAGCGAGAAATCACCCCCCAGGGAGGATGGCCACGCCACAATCCCTTCTCCATTCTCCTCTTGGGATCTTGGGCACGCACGTACATGTGCCCGGCGTGAGTCAAACTCCTTTTTTTTAAAAACCACATTCCAAAAATTTTAGAAAATGTCAGTGATAGGGCCAGCAGATGGTGTGGAGGCCAAGGTGCTGGATCCCACATGGTTGATTCCATGGTTTGAATTCCGGACACAGTGGTTTGAAAATCATACTGGACACGAGTGTGTGCATGCCTGAAATCCCAAGAGGAGAACAGAGGAGAAGGGATTGAGGCATGATCATTTCCCTGGTGGGGGGAGGTGACTTCTCACTTTCCCTCTCTCTCTGATGAGCACATACACTCTCTAGCAAAACAAGTCAGTAATAAAATATTTCCCCCTGAGGGGCAGCTGGTGGCATGGTGGTTAAGTGGCTGAATCCTACATGGCCAATTGTATGGTTCTAATCCCAGACTCAGAGGCTTGAAAAACAGGCCAGGCACATGTGCATGTGTGTCCAACATCTCAAAAGGAGGGAAAATGGAGAAGAAAGAATTGTGGCATACTATCCCCCATGGTGGGGTGCATTCCTACTTTTTCTCTGTCTGCCCCCCATGAGCTCACATTTCATCTGACAAATAAAATTAATAAATAAATAGTCCTTAAATCCACTACAACTGAAGATTGCCAAATCTAACTGTACTCTATTGAATATGAACATGTGATGATTACTCTTGACACATTTGCAAATGTTAAAGGATCAGAAAAAGAAATTGTGATAGTATTCATCACTCAGACAGATAAATATGTAGGTATGTTTCTTACTCCTTAATGCAAGTGAACAGTATTAACCTGGGGCCAGCAGGTGGCGTGGAGGTTAAGGCTGCTGGATCCCACAGGGCTAACTCTGCAGATGGAGTTCCAGAGAGGTGGCTTGAAAAACATGCCCAGCAGTGTGTGGGCCTTAAGAAGAGAACCAAAGAAAAGGGATTCAGTGTAGCTGTCTCCCCTGGGGCAGGAGGGGGGGGGAATTCTTACTTTCTCTCTGTCCCTGTCACTCTTCAGTGAACCCTATGCCCTATGGCAAAAAGCTAAAAAAAAAAAAAAGTATTAATCTGGGGCCAGCAGGTGGCATGGAAATTAGGTTGACTGGATGCCACATGGCTGACTATGCGATGAGTCCAGGACCTGGCACATGCCCAAAATCTGAGGAGAATGGAGGGGAAGGCCACCCAGTGGAGGTAGGAGGTATCTCTCTCTCTCTCTCTCCTATAAACTCATGTGCCCTATAGCAAACTGAAAAAAAAAAGAACAACTAAGATCTAAAATTGTCCTTTTCTGTCCTATAATGTTTAATTTAAATTTTTAAAAGAATTATTTTATTATTTAACTTTATTATTTATTTCATTTTTAATTTGACCAGAGAGGGACAGAGTAAGAGAGAGAGAGAGAGAGAGAGGGGGAGAAAACACGACACACACCAGGACTTGAACCATGGTCAGCTATGTGGGAGCCTAGTGCCCTTAACCATCATGCTACCTGCTGGCCCCTAATTCAAAATTTTTCTCTCTATATAATTTTTACACTGGCATGATTATATCTACAGAGTTCAATACAAGGCAATAGACACTGAGTTTCTTTTATGCCCATTACTATTTGTTTATTTTATAATTATTATAAATAACTTGGAGGGGGCAGCAGGTTGTGTGGTGGTTTATGGTGCTAGACTCCAACATTACTGACCATGGACCTAGCGGCTTGCTTTCTCACTTTCTCTCTCTCTCTTTCTCTCTCTCTCTCTCTTGCTCTGTCCCTCTCTG